ATTTCTGCAGTTTTTATTTCCATTGCAACAAAAGCAAGATGGATGCGGCCTGGAGAGGGCAGCAGACAGAGCCAGCTTGAGGGCACTCACCAGGCCCGGCTCTGCAGCCAGGTCTCCTGTGCCCAGGCAAGGCCCACCCCTCATTTGACGGATGCTGGTTGGTGCTCTCCTTTAGGGCGACTCCGGGGGACCCCTGGCCTGCGAGGAGGCCCCAGGTGTGTTTTACCTGGCAGGGATCGTGAGCTGGGGCGTTGGCTGTGCTCAGGCTCAGAAGCCCGGAGTGTACACGCGCATCACCAGGCTGAAGGGCTGGATCCTGGACACCATGTCCTCAGGCTCCCCGCCCAGGCCTCCCCCCACTACCTCGAGGACGCCGGTTACTTCCAGCTGCCTCCCCAGGACGACAGCCAGCCTCACAGTCCCAGGGGTCACCACCAGCAGACCCACCACCCCTGGGGCCAGCATCAGGGCAACTGTCCAGCCTGCCGACATGACGGTGTCCGTCACAAGCTCAACTGCCCCGGGAAAGACACTGCCTGCAGACACCCCTGAGTCCACCACGCGCTCCCAACTGCCAGGTACAGGGAGCAGTGAGTCGGTGGGAGCTGCCCGAAGGGGACAGCCGGAGCCTGCAGCACAGCTGCTTCCTTCCGAGCCCCCCCCCTCCCTGTTTCTCCCGCAGTCCTGACTGCCCATGCACTGGGCCACGCTGCGCCCTGGCTGCGCTAACGGGCCTCTCTCCACACAGGGCCACACCTGTGCTCCTGGGGTTTTGTATCAACATAGGAATTCGGGGGACCTGACTCACTGTCAGGGCCTGGCCGACTAGTGGTCAATCAGTGACCCCTGGGTCACCCAACTTCTATTTTAAAAAGGAAGCTGCTCCAGGCCCCTGGGGTGTGCGCCAGGCTATAATGGGGAGGGACTTCCACATGGGGAGGCAATGGGGACCCCAGGACACAGCAGTTGACATCAGGCTAGGTGTGAGGGGAAGACAAGCAAAGTGGAGATGCGGGGGCGTGGGGCAGCTGCTGGCGGAGGTGTGGGCTGAAGGGGACACTTGCACTGGACCCAGGCTGCCAGGCGCAGCAAGCCTTGGCCACGCGTGGCCAGGAGACCACACCTTTGCCCTCTGCTCCGTGGCGGGCGCTGTCAGCAGAACCACAAGAAGCTGCAGTGTCGGGTCGGGAGTAAAGCCCCCAGCCTGGGGCTGCAAGCGACCCAGGAGAAGCTGCCTCCCGCAGCGCTGTCCTGAGGGGCAACTGCACTGGGTGGCCCCGCTCAGCTAGTGAGCCCCACGTGGTTTGGGGGATGCTGGGGTGACCATCCACATGGGGCTGCGGTCCTGTCTGGGAGCCAGCTGGGGGACACTGTGCCCTCCTCATCTCCTGCCTCAGTTTGCCCAGAAGCCCCACTGCACCCTGCACCTGAGCTCCCTGGTCCCACTGTCACCACGGACAACCGGGGGTCTCCCCACCCCCAGACCAGGCCTCCAGCCCTCCCCCAGCACTGCCCTCCCTCCAGCTCACGGGAGGCTGGGGAGGTCGCTGCGAGGTCACTGCCTGTCAGGGCTGTCATGACGGGCCTGGGGGCAGGTGGCCCTTCACCCCACACGCATTTATACGGTACCCTGGACAAGTCCGATGGGGCCCACAAGGCCAGCAACACAGCCAGGGACATTAGGGTGGGCGCAGCGAGGGAGTCTCTAACCGGGGGTGGCTTGCCAGAGGGAGAGAGGCCCCTGCAGGCATGGAGGACATGGGGTGCTGTTGGTCAGAGCTCACCCGCTCAGAGCACATCAGTGTGGGTGGCCCTGGCCACAGCAGTCTGCCCTGCGAGGCAGAGCCAGGTCCTACCTCTGTGAAGACAAAGGACAGCGCAGTGTGGGTGGTCACAGCAGAGCCCTTATCGGAAGTTTGTGCCTGGGTGGACCAGGCTTTGGACAGCGCCATCTCGGCGAGTAAGAAGGCAGAGATGGCTTGGGGAAGGAGCATCTCTCACCCCCACACACTGGCCTCTTGGGGCCTGGGCACTGACCTAGCTAACCTTTGCCCTCTCACTAGCCACAGCCTGGGAGGTCCTAACTGGGGTCCCCAAAGGGGCAAGGAGCTCCCCTAAATGGAGACACGGCCCTCACAGTGCAGGCCACCTGCATTCCTAAGAAGAGGGGCAGTGCTTCCGTGGGGTCCCAGGCCTCCTGGGGCTGGGGTCTCCGGTGTCCGAGGCCGGCAGGGAGCACCGCAGCCAGCCCTGCAGTCTGCCCCTTCTTTCTGTGGGGGATGCCAGCCCTTCCTTTCCTGGCCACCTTTGTGTTTGCTGAGGCAGGGACAGGACTCTCCCCAAGCCTCCAGGGCAGGGTGGCCACCTGGGTGGTGGGAGAGGGCCAGGGAAGGGGGTCTTGCCAAGAGAAAGTGCCCTGCAGGAAGGTGGCTACTGGCCCAGGGGTGGTTCCCTGCAACCCCCCCAGAACCACCCTGTCCCGAGTGTGCACTTCATCAGGGATGTCATCCCCATGGGGATGGGGACGATCACAGCCTGGGGGAAGGATCCTGGCAAAGAAGGGTGCACAGGGCACCAGGAACCACAGGGCTGTCCCCCAGGGCAAGAGGGGACTCAGTTACCATGGGCTTGAGACACACACAGGTGGCCCCGGGATGGGCCCAGGAGGTGCTGCCCTACAGCTGAGCTAACCAGGAACACGACTTCAAACGTCATTAGAGAGGCCAGAGGGCTCCCTGCAGGACCAAGAGCCAGGCCTAGCCTCTTGGGGCAGCCGCCCACTGCCCACCCCTCTGCCCCAGAGGTGGCCCCAGTGGTCCCCCTCACTGCTCACTTTGCCTCCCTGCAGGTTGCGGCCTGTCGCCTGCCAGAGCACTGGCCAGGATTGTGGGTGGCAGTGCCGCAGGTCGAGGTGAGTGGCCGTGGCAGGTGAGTCTGTGGCTGCGGCGCAGGGAGCACCGCTGTGGAGCCGTGCTGGTGGCAGAGAGGTGGCTGCTGTCGGCTGCACACTGCTTTGACGTGTGAGTCCGCGGCCCCGCACGCTGGCACTGTCCACACCACTGCCTCCCCCTCTGGGCCGGGATGCCTGCCTTGCCATGGGCCTCTGCTGGCCAGGTCACCACTCCCCAGGGCATCCGCTGGTCCACACCTGGCGAGGCAGAGCCCATGGGGAATGTCGCGCTCACTTCTTTCCCTCCCCTTCCACCTTAGTGACCCTCCCCAAGAGGACCTCTCCCTGGCAGGGTGCTCAATGGAGTTGAATAGTGCTCCAGAGGGGACGCCCAGCTCAGGACACGCCCCCCCCCAAGGGACTTGGAGTCAGAGGGGACAAGCAGGCTGCGGCAGGGGACCTCATGGCCCCCACAAACCCCCTTCAGAGTACCATTTTGAAAATAGGTCCCCCCCACCCCGTGGTAGCAAACAGTGGCTGACCACATTCCGGGTGTGGGTGGGTTCCCCTTCACCTAAAAGGGAGGGAGCACCCTGGCCCCATTTCCAGAGGAACTGCCTTGGGCAGGTGTGGGGGCACGGGGACACGGCAGAGGCAGGGCTGTGCACCAAGATCTGGGCAGATGCCTATGCTGGTGCATCCCACAGCTATGGGGACCCCAAGCAGTGGGTGGCCTTCTTGGGCACGCCATTCCTGAGCGGCGCCGAGGGGCAGCTGGAGCGCGTGGCGCGCATCTACAAGCACCCCTTCTACAACCGCTACACGCTCGACTACGACGTGGCGCTGCTCGAGTTGGCCGGGCCAGTGCGCCGCAGCCGCCTGGTGCGGCCTATCTGCCTGCCAGAGCCCACACCGCGGCCCTCCGAGGGCACGCACTGCGTCATCACCGGCTGGGGCTCCGTGCGGGAGGGAGGTAGGCGCCGGGAACAGGGTGGCGGGGCGGGGGGCAGCCGGCCAGGCGCGGTCGGTCGGCCGACCCTCCCCCGCCCCCCTCCCAGGCTCTATGGCGAGGCAGCTGCAGAAGGCCGCTGTGCAGCTCCTCAGCGAGCAGACCTGCCGCCGCTTCTACCCGGTGCAGATCAGCAGCCGCATGCTGTGCGCTGGGTTCCCGCAGGGCGGAGTGGACAGCTGCTCGGTGAGCGCCCCAGGAGGGTGGTCCCACTGCCACCCCACTCCCGCATTCTTCTCCAGGGCCTTGACCACAAGGACGGGCAGGCAGGGCAGAGGCAGCTGTGAAAAGGCCCGTCCACAAACACCCGCCAACAGTACCAGTGGACTACCCTAGTGTGGAACCCATTTCCCAGATGAGTGAGGCTCTGAGGAAGCCACTCACTTGAAGTCATTCCTGTAGTGGTCAGTTGTTCAGGGGTGCCCAGGTCAGATGGGCCCTCCCATGGCCTAAGGGCAGAGAGGGGAGAGATTGGCCTGAGTAACCCTCTCTTCTCTCCCACAGGGTGATGCTGGGGGACCCCTGGCCTGCAGGGAGCCCTCTGGCCGATGGGTGCTAACTGGGGTCACCAGCTGGGGCTACGGCTGCGGTCGACCTCATTTCCCAGGTGTCTACACTCGAGTGGCTGCTGTGAGAGGCTGGATAGGACAAAACATCGAGGAGTGACCACCATGTGGCTGTCCAGGCCCAGGACGTTAGACAGGGAGGAGGAAACACTGTCCACCCAGTCTGCAGAGAGGATGCTGGGTGGTGGGCAGGCAGTGAAGGGTGGAAGGGTATGGGGGGGCAGCTGGACTGTGTACTTTGTTCCAATAAACACAGCCTCTTGCCCCTGGCTCTGCACCTCCATGGCACAGCAAAAACCTCATCCCGTCCTTTCCCAATGGAAGGGAGGGAAATAAGCCCTAGAGAGAGGGGCAGCTCCCTTACCTGGCTGTGGGCCTCACCTGGGGTGTTTGGCCACGCCACCCATGAGCCAGCAGCCCAGAAGCAACAAGGGGGAGCGGATGCCCCCACGGAAGCTGAGGTCCACTCTGAGCAGGGCGCTCAGAGGCATACGGCTTCTCCTCCCACATAACCCTCAGGAAGGAAATTCACGGATTTTCTGTCCCTCAGTCAGCAATTTATTGGCCCATCCTCAAGAGACCACAACTTGAGTGGGGCCTGACCACCTCCCACCGCACAAGAGGTCCAAACAAAGGATTCTCGGCCCAGGAAAGGCGGCTAACCTGGGTACTCCAAGAGAGAGGCCGTGGATTCCCAGGCCTTGGGAAGGGCACAGACCCAAGTTGCACTCGCTGGCAGAGGCACACCTCAACTGTCCCTGCACTGCGCCGCCCTCATAGACCATGGGCGGTATGCACTCGTTGGCTCCCGCCTCGGAAAGCACGTTGATGGATATGAGCCCGGGTGGGCGACTCCCGTGGGTGGACTCCCCGGATGGTGGCGTGCCTCCTGATTACATATTGGCTCGTTCCCGCTGCAGCCGCGAGTTGTAGGCGCGGGACACGGTGTTCCAGGCGTCCATATAGCGGTCCATGCACATGGCGATGCACTTCTGGGGGTGGGGAGAGGACGCAAGGCTCGGTTCTGGCCGTGTGTGCAGCGGTTCACCCGCCCCAACTCTAGGCCACTGGGCTGCAAAGGCGCACGCGCAACAGTTCCGCCCCCACCCCGCGCACGCGCAGACGCCTCGCCACCCGCGGCAGGACCCGGCGATCCCTGATCCAGACCCCCGCGTGGGGTCTCACCTGCTCCGAATTGTCCAAGGAGCCCCCCGGCTTCCCAATGCACTTCCGGAAACACTTGTCGGTCATCCTCTGTGGACACACGGGAGCCCTCAGTCGCGACGCCACCCCGGGGCACCCCCAACCCCGGCCCCCGCGGGCCCCGCACCTGAAGCAGCTCCTGCGCGTTGGCCACGGCAATCTGCACCTTCACCTGCTCCATGATGAGCCCCGGGTCCAGCTTCCCGCCGCCGGAGCCCCCGAAATCCGAGCCGAATCCGCTCTCCATGGCTTCGCAGTCCACCCGGCCGCGGCCGCGCGCGCCGACCCACAGTCGCCGGAAGCCGGGCCGCCCAGGGCACCACGGGAAACGGAGCCCGCACCCTAACTCCCACAAGGCCGCGCGGATCCCTACGCGCACGCGCCGGGGCCTAAGTCCCGGCGTCGCTCCGCGTCCAGGCCCCGCCCCGGCCCGCCGCGCGTGCGCACCGCGCGGTGGGCGTAAGCCGAGCCCCGGGCTCCGAGCGGGAACCTGTCTACCAACGCCAAAGAGGTCTGCGCGGCGGGCGGAGTCACGACGGACGCTCGCCTCGGTGGGCCCGACTCTGCGCTGGTTAAAACCAGTGTTTATTGGAGAATCGTACAAAAGTCACTGGTCACAAAATGTGCGTCGCAAACTAGTGGAAGGGGACAGCAAAGCCGCACATCCGACACGCAGCTCAAAACCCAGCCACGCACGCCAAAGGGCCCGCGTCTCCCGGAGTCCAGAGTAGACGAGGGGGATCACGCGCCAGCCGGCGGGGCAAGCTGTCTCCCAAGAGTGGTGGCCAGGTCCTCAGCTACAGACCACCTCCTGTTGGCCCCGGGTGGGCATTGGGCCAGTCACGCACCTGGGCTCCAGGAGCCCAGGACTCTACCTTGCGCCCACCCCTTTGGGCGGCTGGCTCCAGCAGGCGGCCCTGGCAGGGCAGGCAGTGGTGCTGAGCATGGACAGCAGCCTGCCCTGCCTGGCCCTTGCAAGGAACTGTCAGTAACTGGTCACCACGTGTGTGGCCAGAGGCTTCTGAAAACAGGGCAGCTGGACAGCTCAGGAGCAAGGGTGGCAGCAGCAGCAGCACTGGTGCTCTCCCTGCCTGGGGCTCAGTTCCTAAGGGCAGCCAGAGCCAGTGACCAAAGAAGCACCACACCTGTCCAGACTGCAGGGCAGGGCTGTTTTGTGTCCGACCGCTGCTTTCTGGGGACAGCACATGAACGTGGCTCAGCATCAGTGTCTGAACTCCAGCTGCACTTTCCGAGGGACATCAGCCATGTGAAGGACTGGGTGCTCATGGAGATAGGTCCCCCACCCCATGCCATCCCTGGGAGGATGACCTATCTGCCTGTCCTGGTGGCCCTGGCAACCTGCCTACTCACAAATGTAAAAATAAATATCCATTAAAAAAATAACATGTGCCTATGAGGGAGTAGGTGAGTGTGACTGTAGAAGGGGCTGCTGGGTGGGCAGAAGCCAGGCGTGGGCCATGGAGACAGGACTCCATTTTCATCTGCATGTCTGAGAAACATTTTGGCACGGATGTGTGCACATGGGAGGCAGCAGGGGCCTCTCCCCCAGTCTCCGGCCAGGATGGAGACCCATGCTCCACTGGGAGGGCTGGGAATCAGCTGTCATGCACTCAGCTTTCTAACACTCATGACCTTTGCTCCCGAGGTCAGCAGTGTCCCCTTCTGAGCAGTGTTGACCAGTCTTGGAAGCGTCCTCCTTTCCTGCCCTGCTAGCCCTGCAGGATCAGGGTGGCTCCCAGAAAGCCAGGTCAGAGTCCCAGCCTGCTGCCCACAACAGGACGGAGGCCAGACCAGCCCTGCAGGCCCTGGCTATGCCAGAGTGCGCCCCCAGCCCCAGCCAGCCCCTGCTTCAACGCACTCAACGCAAGGATGGCTTCCGGGTGGCTGAAGTGGAACCACCAAATCTTGATGTGACAGTGACAGTGCCCCCCCAACCAGGTCACAACCCAGATTCTGAATTTGGTTTTTAAAAAGCGTTCAAGGAATCCTATAGCTATAGAATCCCTACAGTTTCACATTCTGTCCACCTCGAGCCCCCAGGGGTGGCTTCTGTCCCTCCGCAGGCCAGGTCCGCCACTGAGGCAGAGGCGGCCGTCCACAGCACCCAGGCCCAGCCCCTCGGCCTTCAGGGTCCCCGGGGGTGGAAGGCAGTGGAATGGGGAGGGTGGGAGTCTGAAGCGGCAAGGTGTGCCCAGGTGAGGTCAAGGCCACGCTGACCCGCGTGAGTTGGCAGTTTGCTTAAAAATCAGCTAGAAACAGACCAAAGACTAACGAAAGCCAATGATAGAAAAATAGTTTTCAGTGGCTCTGGGTGAAGAACAGTGTGTAGATGCCGAGTGCTCAGTTACATCAGGCAGCAGCCCCTCGAGGTGGTCCGTGGGTCCCCCTGGGAGGAAGGAAGCAAGGATGGCAGTCATGAGGCCCAGCCCGGGAGGCGGGCCTGGCTGGGCGACCCAAGGAGGGGGGTGTGGTACCGGTCCCTATTTCTAGAACCTTCTATCCCTCCACTACCCTGAGCTACACGAGCACTAAACTTGGCTGCGACTCTGGTGCCAGGCATTCTGCAGGCAACTGGCACCTGAGCCAGGGGGAGTGAGACAACCCATGTCTTGGGGACCCCACAGCCAGCTGCCCTGATGTCACAGAATTTGCACAGCAGGAAGGAGGCAAGCAGACCACCCCAGCCCTGCCTGGGTGGCTGCACACCAAGGGATGGCGGGATCCGGGCCCTGCAGCCCAGCAAGCGTGTGAGCGCACGCATGCGTGTACCCAGGTGCTCTGCCCAGGCAGCAGGTGGGCACAGGGTCACTACCTGCTGGTGGAAAAGATCCTCCTCGCCAAACTCGGCTTCCTCTTCCTCTTCCTCCCCGTTCTCGTTCTCCCGCACCACAGAAGACTGCTTCACTGCTCTTGTGGCCACTTCCTGCACCAGATGAGGACCACCGACACTCAACACTGAGGCCGGAGTGTCCCGTGTGACAGGGTCACTGCTGGGCTGCAGCCTCGGTGCCGCGGGTATGGCCCCGGGCTCCACCCCAGGACTGTGGCACGTGGAGGGCAGGTGTGGGGATGCGCGGTGCACCCCAGCAAGGCTCACACCCACCTCTCCGTCGGCGCTGACCAGCACAGTGCGGAAACTCTCGCCGGAGCCCCAGCTGCTCTGGCTCTTCCACACCAGGGTTGCGGGGGGGCTGTGGGCCACCCCTGCACCAGCTGCCCACACCTGCCAACCCAAGAACGCCCCGCTCAGCCTTCTGGATGTGGATGTGGACAGCACCTGGTGCCCAGCCTGAGGCCCTTCAGTGCCCGAGCACTGCAGCCTCACTCGGGCTTGCTCATGGATGGCGGCCCCCAGGATGCAGACGCCACCCGGGCTCACGGCAGCTGGGCAGTCAGTTGAGGGGACCTAAGGTCCTCCGTGGCCACAACTGCCACTTCTCACCAGTGCCCACCAGCCCAAACAGCCAGGACTCAGCCCTGGCACCTCTCCACGACCCACAGCTGACCCTGGGGCAGAGCTGGACCCTGCGGCACCCAGCCGAGGCCGCGGCCAGCCTCCCACCTGCCCCTCCCTGATGCACCTACCGTGACTGTCTGGCCGGCCCGCAGGACGTACTTGGGTGTGAACTTATAGGCGATCTCATCGCCCTCGAGGACCTGCCTCTTGATCCTCCAGTTCCCCAGGGACTGATCCTGGAAAGGGCACACACACAGGTGACCCACAGGCCACCAGTACGCGGCACCGGGCTGTGCCCTGCCCAGCAGCTCACCTTGTCCGAGTTGTTCTTGAGCCGCACGAACCTGCCCTCCAGGTCAATCTCCTCGATGCTGACGCTGCCGGTGGCCGAGGCCTGCTGGGCCAGGCGGAAGCTGCTGCTGCTGCCTGAGCCAATGCTGCCCGAGCCAATGCCACTTGAGCCGCTGCCTGGGGGCTCCTCCGCCTCCAGACGCCGGCGCTTGCTTCGGCTCGAACGCCCAGCTGTGGACATGCTGCTGCTGCTGCTCGAGGTGGCCCGTGAGATGGTGACCCGTGAGGATGGGCTGGGAGACAGCTTCAGCCTAAGGGTAGCGTGAAGAGGTATGACTGGTGGCCCCGAAAACGCCAGGCCCAGTATCCACGACCGCCCTGCTCCTGCCGCCCACCTCTCCTCCTCGCCCTCTAGGAGCTTGCGGTAGGCGCTGATCTCCATGTCCAAGGTCAACTTGACGTCCAGCAACTCCTGGTACTCGGCCAGCTGTTGCTGCATCACATCACGCATCTCCATCATCTCCTGCTCCTTAGCGTCCAGCATCTTCCGGAACTTCTCCCGCTCCCCAGTCATGGCCCCTTCCAGCTCTCGGATGCGGTCCTCAGCAGCACTGGCCTGGGAGGGGCAGGTGGCCAGGTCAGCCCAGCCTCTTCTGGGGCTGCCCCTGGTGGGACAGCAGGCGAGCAGGCCCCTCAGCACAGTGGGGACAGAGGCTGGGCTGTTGAACAGGCTCCGGAGAGCTGGCCCGGTCAGCGCTCAGGGCTGCCCCCGCCCAGCCCGGCCCCAAGGCCGGACACGGGCCTCACCTGCTTCTGGAGGCTGGAGAGCTGGTAGCTGAGGGACTCGACCCGCATGCGGGCCTCCTTCAGCTCCTCACGGGCAGCGCTGGCCGCCTTGTCATTCTGGTCGGAGCTCAGCTTGGCGTGGTCCAGCTAGGAGAGACGGGGAGGTGAGGCCAGGGGCGGGGGAGCCTGGGAGGTGAGGCTGGGGATGGGGAGACGGGGAGGGGGGCCGGCCGCACCTTGGCCTGGTAGGTCTGCTCCAACTCCAGGCGGTAGAGCCGCACGTGCTCGTCCTGCTGGCTGCGCAGCTCCTCCAGGGCCTGCGCCAGGCGCACATCGTATTCCTGCTGCCGGCCGCTGTCCACCTCCACCAGCCGCCGCTCGTGCCGCCGGCGCGTCTCCCGCACCTCCTGCGTGGCGACAAAGCCCGCGGTCCTGCAGCACTGTGGCTCTGAGGTGGCCACCGAGAGCCCAGGAGGAAGGCAGGGGCCCCCCTGTCCCACACCCCAAGCGCAAAGCCTGAGTGCTTAGCAGTGCCTCTCTCAAGTCCAAGGCCAGACCCTGGCTCAAAGTGAACGAGAACTGAGCTGGGGGTGCGGCTCGCTGATGGACTCCCCAGTGGCCTCGTCTCTGTCTCACACCGAACCTCAGAAGCTCCAGGCGTCTCCCTGCTACTTGTTCACAAATGTTCACAGGAGCAGCCCTGCTGACCACCAAAGAGTGGACACAGCCCAAATGGGCCTGGGTGGATGAAGGAACACGGTGTGGCCATCCACCTGGAGCGTCACTCAGCCACAAGCAGGAGCCAGGTGACACGGCTGCACTGCACATGGGCTGAGGACCTGGTGCCGAGAGCCCGACAGACAGGTGACAGAGTCAGAGCCGGATGTGGACTCCTAGGCACTGGGCTACGAGGGATGGGGGATGCTCATGGTCTGGGCTTCCTTTTGGACTGATGGAATGTTCTGGAATTAATGGGAAGAATTGATTCTAAAAACACTTAATTCTACACTTCTAAAAAAGGTGAACTTTATATCACACGGGGATCACTTCTCTTTAAAGTCGCTCTTTGACTGTAAAACAGATGGTCGGGCTGGGGCTCAGCGGTAAGGAGCTTGCCTAGCACGAGGCCTGACGAGGATCTCAGCCCCGCAGAAAGACTCAGAAGACATGGCCATCGATGGCTGCGGGCAAAGGACACGGCTGCGACTGCGGGGGCCCAGAGCCACGCCCGCATCCCGGTGCCTCGGAGGCTGAGGCAGGGGATGCAAGTTCAAGGCCATCTTGAGCAACTTCGTGAGACCCGGCTGGGGAATGGCCTGGGTGAGTGCCTGGGTCCAGTCCCCAGGACCCCCCAACACACAAAAAGACCACGAATGGCTCGAGCCAGAGGCCTGGGCCTCGACAGAGGCTGGGATGGGACGACGGCAGCAGGCCCAGCCAGGCATCTTCGCTGGCCACACCAGGAGACCTGCCCGGGCACAGTCGGAGCCCTGGCGGCTGGCGGCCTAGAGGGACCTTCTGAGGGCGGCCGGGCAGACACCCACCTGCACCTGGTGTGCCCGCTCCTCGGCGCCCCTCCTGCGGGGGCCCTTCCCAGGTGCCTGCGCGGCTCCCCTAGGGGGTCTCTTCGTGGGTCCCCTCACAGGTCCTCCCACAGGTCCCCATCCCAGTTTACTCAAGGACGCCTTCACAGGTCTCCTCAGCGGATCCCTCAAGGGGATCTTCCCAAGTCCCCTCAGGAATCTCTTCACTGCTTCCCTCAGAGGTCTCTTCACGGGTCCCCCTCATGGCTTTCTTCACAGGTCCCCTTAAGAGCTCGGGGTCCCTCATGGCTTTCTTCACCCTTAAGACCTCGGGGCCCCTCATGGCTTTCTTCACGGGTCCCCTTAAGAGCTCGGGGTCCCTCATGGCTTTCTTCACCCTTAAGACCTCGGGGTCCCTCATGGCTTTCTTCATGAGTCCCCTTAAGACCTCGGGGTCCCTCAGGGCTTTCTTCACGCGTCCCCTCACGGGTTCAGGTTCCTTAAGGGGTTCCCTTGCAGGATCTCTCACAGCCTCAGGGTCCCTGATGGATTCCTCCACAGGTCCCCTCTCAGGCTCAGGGTCGCTCACGGATTCCTTCACGGGTCCCCCAACATGCTCAGGGTCCTTCACAGATTCTTCCACGGGTCCCCTCACAGCCTCAGGGTCCCTGATGGATTCCTCCACGGGTCCCCTCACAGCCTCAGGGTCCCTGATGGATTCCTCCATGGGTCCCTTCACGGGCTCAGGGTCCTTCACAGATTCCTCCACGGGTCCCCTCTCAGGCTCAGGGTCCCTCATGGATTCCTTCGCGGGTCCCCTCACAGGTGCCTTGAAGGGTTCCTGCAGGGATGTGGGTCCTCCCTCAGGTCCCCTCCTGGGCGTCTTGAGGAGTCCAGGCTCCCTCGTGGCTCTCTTCACAGATCCCCGCACGGGGCTGCCTCCCACGCAGGCCTGCGTGGTGACTGGTACCCTCGCTGGGCCTGTCCAGAGCCGGGCACGGTCCCTCAGCTGCACGGCATCCCTTCCTCTGGCAGGCCTTCCCGGCAGTGACCACCAAGTGGCCCCGCCCGGCCCAGCCCAGCCCAAGGATTCCATGGGCACAGTGGGCTCTGTGATGGTGGCGTCTGCAGAATCCGAGGGGGCCAGGCCCTGCACCCCAGCCCCACCCCAGAGGACACAGGAGCCTGGCTGATCTGCCTGAGGTCCCCTGTCCCCAGTGTCCTAAGAAGCCAGGAACCCCGTTAGGAGGTGGTGGGGAGGGAGCAGGTGGCTGGGCGGGGAGAGGGGTCCTGGGGTGGGTGAATGGTGGCCCCCAAAAGACGTGTGTGCGTTCCGACCCCCAGAGCCTGCGCCGTGCCTTGGGTGGCAACAGTATTTGTGCAAGACCCAGGCAGCAGGCGGGTTCTGGATCACTCGGGGCCTCAGTCCAACGACAGTGTCCTTACAGAGCGAGGCCGAGGCGGAGGCGGAGGCGGAGGCAGCGGCGGCGGCCCAGGGCGCGGGCGGACTCACCTCCTCGAACACGCTCTTCTGGAAGTCGAGCTCCTCCTGCAGGCTCTGGCAGCGGTTCTCCAGGTCCACGCGCATCAGCGTCTCCTTCTCCAGCTGCTTTTTAGCCACGGCATGACCGTCCTCGGCCTGGGACAGAGTGGCAGCTGAGGACGTGCTGCTCACGCCTCCCGCGGAGCCCCGGCCCCAGGAGCTGGGCCTACCTTGGCCAGCTGGGCCCGGAGCTCGGCCGCGTCGCTCTCCAGGCTGCGCTTGTCACTGAGGGCGGCGGCCAGCTCCACCTCGCTCCGGTGGAACAGGGACTCCAGGTCCTTCACGCGGCCCTGGGCCACGGAGAGCTCGCCTTCCCTCTTGCTGGCACTGCAGGTCAAGAGGCCAGGTGAGCCAGGGGACAGCGTGGCCGTCTGCCACGAGGAGGCCCTCGGCTGAAGGGGCCAGAGAGGCCACGCAGTCACAGGGGACCTGGCCCTGGCCTCACCCCCACGGGGACACGCCGTGCCTCTCAGGGCTGTGGCGGGCAGGCCATGCAGAGCGGCCCCCACCACTGGAAGCAGTGGCACCAGTGTCCTTTCCTGGGAGTTCTGGGCTGAACGGGGAGTTCACAGGAACAGGGGGTCTTGCCGGCGCCTGCCCGGCTTGGACATCAGGCAGCGAACACCAGACCTCAGACACGGGAGCGCCTGTGGCTTCTGAGGGCTCTGGGGACATCCCGGCTGCGCACGGCTGTGGGGAGGAGCCACTCTCACACCGCGAGCCACCCGGGACCCCTCCTGGGGTCTCTGCTCAGAGGCCACGGGAAGCCACGCTAGGAGGGAGGCCGGCCCTGGGGACGGTGGGGCTGGGCCACGACTGTTTCTGGGAGAAGAGGTTGGCCTGCAGGATGGAGCCGGGCCAGGCGGCCAGGAGCAGAGGGGTCGGGTCTGCAAGGACAGGTCCCGCAGGCCACTGCAGAGAGCAGGGTTCTGGCCATGGCGGCAGCCCCTCCTCTGAGCACCAAGGGGCTGACGCAGCTCCAACCAGGTGCAAGAGCTCCCTGGGGCCACCAGGAGCCGGGCCCACTGGTGGGGTCCTCCGTGAGGCCACCTGCCTTTGTCACCATGGATCTTTGGCAACTGATTTGTTAGCAGAAGAAAAACACCAGACCAAACCTGTTAGGAAGGTGACTGAGTTTGGGGACAGTGACCGGATGAGTCAGAGAACCTCGTGATCACTGAGGGAAGCTGGGCGCGAAGCTTGAGGAAACTGCGTCAGGGAAGGGACACCCAGGTCAGAGGTCAGAAGTCAGCCCAGGGTATTTACTATTTGAAAGCAATTTTTTCCTCCAAATTAAGGTGAACTCCACATACTATAAAACTCAGTGTTGCTGCTGCAGTGCTGGGGACAGAACCCAGGGCCTCACGCACACCAGGCAAGGGCTCTGTCACTGGGCAGCACCCTGGGCCAAGACTAGCGGTTGGAGCGGACAGTCCGGGGGCCATGGGGTGGCTCCCGGGTGGTGCAGACCCCTCCAGTGTGCACCACGCAGCCCCTAGTGCCCAGGACAGAACCAGGCCTGCGCGGCTGGGAAGGTGTCTCCCTCAGCCACACCCAGTCCTTTTATCTCAGGGGCTGGCCTAGACCTTGTGACCCTCCAGCCTCAGCCTCCTGAGTGGCTGGGATGACAGGCCTGGCCACTGCACCTGGCTCAAACCTGCTTATTAACCACAAAGCAGGCTCCCTGGAGGTGGCAGCTTGATGGCCACCCAGTGTCCACCTGGGGTCAGCTGGCAGTTGAGGGACGGGTGGGATACCAAATGGAACGTGCAAGGTCCAGGTGATCTGTCCTTGCTCATGCCTGAACTCTGGCTCGTGGTCACTGGGAGGACTCAGACAGTCCCTTGGAGCCCTGGGTCCTGGGCAGGAGGGTGAGGGGTGCCTGGGCCAACCTGGAAGGTGACCTCTCCTGGCAAAGGGACACCATGAGGAGTAGGACCCCCACACACACCACTTACGGGGCCCAGGCACCACTGGCCACGAGGCCCCCGGTGACTACTTGGGTACAGTTCAACCTGGACATAACGGGCTGTCAGGCCACTAGCAGCACTTTTCTTCTTCAGGCCACCAGCTGCCTATCCCCAAACCAGGTGGCTGAGTTACCACCAATTCTGGGGACACCCAGATGAGCAACTCCCTCCAGGAGGCCACATGACCCTCCTACTAGCAGGGTGCGGCAGAAGTCCACAGGTGCCCCTGAAGCTGAACCAGGCCTGGGGCAAAGCAGGAGGACAGGACCGCAGCTCTGGGGGGAGCACTCTGGGGGGGAGCAGCTCTGGGGG